GGTTGAAGTCGCAAGTCTCGAGCCTCCACGAGCTTGCAGGCTCCGCGGAACAGATGCGTCCCGCTTGTCGTCCATTGGCTCGGACAGAAACTATGGCAATGAAGATTGCTGCGCGACTGCAGATTGGAGCTTGCTTATTTGGAGAAAACGTCCTGGAAGAAAGCTGACAGGGAAGTGTCTGAAGAACATGGAATGTCATCAGAAGGACTGCTATTCACTTCCCATGCCCTGAACTCCATTAATTCGCAGGTAGCTTGGGGTTTATAGGGTTGAGGCTTTCAAACAATTTTCTAGGTGGGAAGGGACAAATTGAGGCGTGAACCTTTGCAGGGAACAGGGGGGTCATGTTGGTCAATATTCATCCTGGTTACCGGCTTCTTCCGGAGTTTAGGATGTTTAAGCCCTTCTGGCCCAACCCATCGTAAAGTGATAGGGAACAGGTCCGGAGCGCTTTCTGAGTGATTGCGGGCTCGCAGCCAGGGTATTATGCAGCCTGTCGCCCAGCCTGCAGACTTCTTAAGCTTTAAACCCTTACCCCAAGCCCGACCCCACACATCCCTCATGATGAAGTTATAATCGGATTACTTGCGATCCTACTACAAAAAACACCAAACTGGAAAGGAATCCCCCGAACCTCCCTCGTTTGGGTTTGCTTTCTGATGCCACTCGGCATCTGACTCGGGTTTGGGTTTACTTACTGTCAGCTAGCAGGGAACTGGCCTTATATATTATTATTATTATTATTATTATTATTATTATTATTATTATTATTATTATTACTACTATGATTATGATTATTATTATTGTTATTGTTATTATTATTATTATTAAGATTATTATTATTATTATATATATATATACCCTTTAATATAGGGTAGCTCATTCCCCCATTCCCTACGAACCAACAGTAAGTTTACTGCTGGCTTTGGTTTTTGGGGTGTGAAGGCCGGCCTTCTGGCTGTCGCTAGGAGCCCAGATGCAAGGGTTTAGGGGACAGCTTTGGAGCTTAGGGCCAGTTTTGGGCTGCCTGGCCTTTGAACCCTAAACCCTAAACCCTGATTTGCCGGTTCTAGTCCCTGCAATGTGGCCTGAGTGTCAGCCAGGCGGGTGGCAAAAAAACAAAATCCTAAACCCTAAACCCAAGGCCACATCGTATCGGACATATCCAACCTGGAGTCCACGGCTGCTGCTTTTGTTCTCTTCGGCCGCTCTGCACTGAGAAGCCTCGAGGTCCCCCTGAAACCTCGGGGGCCCCGTCAAAGCCGGGCCTAAACTTAAGTCGACCTGCCGAGGTGCAGGGTTGGGATTGGGGTTTAGGGTTTAGGGCTAGGGTTTAGGGTGTCGGAGTTCGGATTCAGGGTTTAGGGTTGTTAAGGATGAGGCTCAGAGCGCTCGTCGTCCGAAACCTCGGCCATGAGCCAAAAAAATCTCCTTAAGTTTGAAACGTGCTGCCACACCCTACAACGCTAAATTCTAACCCCCCTCCCCCCCACCCACCCACCCTACCCCCCCCCACCCCTCCCCCCCCCCACCCCTCCCCCCCCCTCCACCCCTCCCCCCCAACCCACCCACCCACCGCAAGAACGGACCCTGGCATGGGCAGGGTTTATACCTAGGGTTGTTGGGTTGTGCTAGGTTTGGGAGGTTCAGCACTTTGAGGGTTCGGGCTGACGCGACCCTACTTTGAGTCACGGGTTACAGCTCCAATTGCGCGGGCGTGAGGGAATTTCCTTTTCTTCTAGACACGAGCCCTTTCAGGAGGGCACCGCGAAGCCCTTAGCCTAGAGGGACAGGGTTTAGCAATAGGTGTCCTCGCGCTTGCACAGAGTTCACCTGAAACCCTGAACACCGCTGCATCGTTGGCATTGCTTCTTGGACGGGTAAGGCCTATAAACCCCCCAAAACCCTATAAACCCTATAACCCTTATAAACCCTATAAACCCTAAACCCCCAAGAGAAGCTGAGGATATGTCTCCAGGAAGTTGCTGATGGACGACAGCCATTTCACACTGTCTGTGCTGCAGCTGGTCGAATCGCTTGGGTGTCCTTTTTTCTGGTGATAAGCCCTGAGCCATGTTTTGTAAACGAGTTGTGGCCTCAAGCCCTACATTGTCTTTCCTACTCTTCAAACCTCTTCAGCCGTTGTCCTGCTGTGTTCACCGAATCTGTAAGGACCTTGTGTAGTGGCCATGCCATGACTTTGTTGCGTGCGTGGGAAGGCTGTCGCTGCCTGTACTTTCACGGGGGCTAGCTTTTTTGTTCCTGTTTAGCGTCTTAACAGCCCTTCATGAAGACCTTGCTAAAGTATGACATGTCAGAGCTTGCTCAGCTTTCGAAAGCCACTAAGCTCAAGCCTACAACCCTAAACTCTATAACCCTAGACTGGGCTTGCAGAAGCCTTTGATTGTACCCACAAGGCTGCCGGGCAAACACGTCTCGCGCACGGCAAAGTGTGCCTGGGCTAACGAGAGAGAAACGCTTCGATTGGGAGTTGAGTTCTTTGGACCTTTTGTTGGCCGGTTGCAACCGATGCGGAGTTCAAGGTCTAGAGTCTAGAGTTAGCCGATGAATCCTGGTAATGTTCGAGAAGGGTCTGAGAAGTTATTTCTGTAGAAGTCTGCGTCTGTGTCCAATGTGTGTTTCTGAAGTGTTTGAAGTGTGGAAAATGTGTGGAGAATCTGCGGCCTTTATTTTTTGTTGGTTTAAAATCTGTGGAATATTGTTTGTAAGCTGGGGGGGGGGGTCCGGATGCAGATTTCCTCTGCGGAAAATCGTGTATCCCCCATAGAACGGTGAGATTTTGGACGGTCAGGCCGGAGGGCCCCGGAAACAGATTTTCCACAGATTTGGAGAACCCCGCGCCCCCCAGAAAACAACTTGCGTAGATTTTCTTAGAAACCCAGACATTACCAAGAATTAATATTCAGAAGTTTAGTTTTTTCTTTGGTAGGATCACATGACCTGCAGTTCGAAACTGTCAGGCCGGGTGCATCCAGTGTGTCTTAACGTTGGCTACTTTTCACCTCAGCACAGCTCGTGATCTCGCTTGCCTTGGGTTCTTCAGCCGTTGAAGAGTTAAAAGACACAGACCTCGACATGTCAGGCTCGGGTGGCTGGCCGTCCATTTCAAATCGAACTGTTGTAAGTTAGCAGTTTGGGCCCTGTGGCCTCGGGAGAGTTGCTACGCCCCTATTCTGCGCCAAATGTTCCCAGACACCAGACCGCATCTGGATGAATCAGCTGCACCGCTTCTCCCGCAAGGTCGCAGTGCTCGTGATAAGCTGGACACAGCACGAGCACAGCACCCACAAATCGGCCATAAGCCAGCACAGCACACTCAACTCCGACTCCTGAGTGCGAAAGCCTTGGCAACCCTTAAAACGTCCAAGCCCTCGAACCCTGGGGAAGGGTGCAGTATGAAGCGTCAAGCCTTACCAACTCATAAAAACTAGTAGTACGAGGTAGGCCCACACAGCCCTAGACGAGGTGCCCTACTCCTGTGCACGGTCGACTGCTTCCGCTCGCTACAGTTCGCCGAGTGGCTGATCGAGGCCAAACTTTGGGGGTGGGGGCTAGGGGTGTGCGTCGCTTTCAGTCCGGAAGGGTGGTCCTAAACTCCTAGGCCCATCTAAACTCCCAGATTCAGAAGCATCCTAGCATTTTCGGGTCTTCGGGTTGTTCACAGACGTCGTTTGAGGCTGGGATTAGGAAGGTTTTGACTCATGGGCCTCATAGTCCTACAGGTCTTAACAATACAAACAATGGTAATGCTGGTAAAAAAAGCTGCGTACTCATAGTCAAGTGTGATGGTAACGCCTTTTGCAGCGTGAGGTGTTCGAGCCTCAACTCTGTAGCCCCTTGCCCCCAAACCCGAAACCCTAAGCCCGAAACCCGAAACCCTAAACCCTAAACCCTAAACCCTAAACCCTAAACTCTAAACCCTAAACCCTAACCTGCAGGTGCAAGAACTCTCCAACTGCACAGAGTTGCCAATCGTGGCGGACGAGCCCTCGGCTGCAGAAGGGGGCTTCCAAGGCCCAGAGATAGTTCAGGGTTTAGGGTTCAGGGTTCAGGGTTTAGGGTTTAGGGTTTAGGGTTTAGGGTTTAGGGTTTAGGGTTTAGGGTTTAGGGTTTAGGGTTTAGGGGGGTTAGGGTTTAGGGGGTCTAGGGGGTTTAGGGCTTAGGGGGTTTAGGGTGTTAGGGTTTTAGGGTTTTGGGGTTTTAGGGTTTTGGGGTTTTAGGGTTTTGGGTTTTTGGGGTTTCGGGGTTTTGGGGTTTTGGGGTTTCGGGGTTTTGGGGTTTTGGGGTTTTGGGGTTTTAGGGTTGTAGGGCCGTAGGGTTTTAGGGTTTTAGGTTTATGGTTAAAACTTTGTAAGCCCAAAGCCAATCTCATTTCAGAAGTCCTGAGGCTAGCGGCGGGAGGGTGGGGGGTTGTTCGTCTGACGCACTGGTGTTGCAAGGCGGCTTGGCATGACCCTAAGCCACCCCTGAGCCCGGCATCGTGAAAGTGTGACGCTTAGAGCATCTCAAACCTAAGCCCGAAAACCCCTGAGGTGCTTCCGCCTGAAGGCTGGACCACACCATTTAAACCCCTAAAAACCACCAAACCCTGAGCCCTGAAAACGAGTCTCTTGGGACATTCCCAGGACTTCATGCCACCTCCGCCGGCGTTTTGGGAGCAGATCACGGTCGACCCCTCTTGGAGCAGGCAGGCTTAGGGAAGTTTGTGGGGCTTGAGGTTTCTGGCCTGGGAGAAGTCACTGCAGCACATGTGCCAGCCAAGGCCACAAAACCTCTGGCATGGCAGGCTTAATCTGCAGACTTAGTGTAAACGAACCCTGCGAATTTCACAGCTTCTCTAAACCCTAAACCCTAAACCAGCAAGGCTGTACCACCATGAATCTGCCAAGAAAGATCAGAATGCGGCAGTTCCCAGGCCCTCCCGACCACATAGACATAGAGCCGGTAGCCTTGTCGCCCCATGTTTGCCTTTTTAGGGTTCCCTTCCCGCATTATCCCCAAGGTTAACCTTTAGTTCCCCCGGTTACTGGACAACTAAGAAGAAAGGGCAGCAAATCCCAGAGATTAGCCTCCGGAAGAGGACCATCCGTGTCCCGACCTACATGAGAATCCTCAAGGCGGGGCTTAGGTTTGTTTATGGAGTTAGGGTTTAGGGTTTAGGGTTTAGGCAAAAGGGTTTAGGGTTTAGGGCTTCTGTCTTTGTCATTTTTCAGCGGGTTCTTGCAGAGTCATCTGTTCTCCCAGCACCGATGTTTCTATCCTGGAAGCCCTAAACCCTAAACCCAAAACCCTTTTGCCTAAACCCTAAACCCTAAACCCTAAACCCTAAACCCTAAACCCTAAACCCTAAACCCTAAACCCTAAACCCTAAACCCTAAACCCTAAACCCTAACTCTACCTTGGACCTAGGGTGGTACCCTTGGGTGTGGGGACACCGTCTTCAAGATCCTCTTAAGGGATATGAAGCAGTGTTTATATTGCTGTTATTGGTGAGTGTATATAAGGTTCCTTTTTCATATTGATTGGTGAGTGTATATAATGGTGTCCTTTGGGGATACAAGGAATATAAACCCTACCCCATACAAGGGCCATAGTCGGGGTATACGAAGGGAACTCTAAACTTTAAACCCTAAACGCTAAACCTCCTAGGGTACATCTTCTTAGCGGTATGAGTCTTGATCCCTTGAGAAACCCCTCAACTCGACAGCCGCAGCCAGAGTCTCAAGCCCCAGCTCTCCACTTGTGTAGGGTTTCGGGTTTAGGGTTTCGGGTTTAGGGTTTAGGGTTTAGGGTTTAGGGTTCAGGGTTTAGGGTTTAGCCCACAAGCCGATCACATGCAGAAACGACACGCTGAACTTGCGGAGGCTGTGTTCAAGGAGATCCCCGTCACTTTCTCGGCCCAGAACTACTCTGCAGATGCCTTTTGCACCGACAGTTGTGTTTGGAGAGAACGGCTTCATATGCTTTGTCTTCAGGCTTCAGAAATTTGTTTCAGATGGCCCTGCGGGGGCGGACCTCCTCACCCACCGGTAGCGAAAAAAGGGTCGAGGGAGAGGGCACACCGGAAGCCTCCGTTACAGCGACGGCCCCTAGCCTCGACGCAAGACTTCGGGGAAGAATCCCAAGAGCCCTAAACCCTAAACCCCAAGAGCCTTAATCAAAAAGCGACGAGTTTGTGACCTCCTAAAGGCTCGGATCCCTATCTTCTGAGTCTCAGAATCCTTGAATCCTCAGCCTTTCAAGGAACTGGAGCTGCGTGCGACACAAATCATCTGGCGGATGCAGAGGAGGTCGAATCCCCTTGCATCGAAGGCTGGGGTTTAGGGTTTTTGGGCCAGGTTGTTCTGACAACTGGGTTGTTTCAACACAGTCGGATTAGTCTTGGGGGGCTGTCATCAGGATTGTAGCAGCTTGGGTTATATTAACCTACCCCTCTTCTGGGAAATGCCCAAAGACCCACCCCCCTACATCTCTGCTGGAGCTGTCCAGAGCAGTGAGCGAGACCGACGCTAGCTTGAATGTCTTGTGATACTTGCACACTAGCTGCCACACTCCAAAGGTACTTTTCCTGGACCAACGTTTTTTGTTACATACATGCTTACATACATACCAGCAGTTGGGCTTTTCATGTCTGGCTGACTTTGGAACTAGTTGGCTTTAGCCACTCATGTTCGAAGTGGTTCGGTTGTACTAGCTTCCTGAAATTTAAATGCCCAAGCCCTAAACTCTGGACAAGTTGCCAATTTCATTTTGGTCACGCCATCTCAGCTTCATTGTGGCAGCAGTTGGTTCGCCCAGCGCTGCCAAGCACTTCAGGAATAGCAGCGTGACCTAAATGGGTTGCATGCACCAAGATACAGTATCTTGCACTGTTTTGCCCGGAAACATGGCCAGGGTCCAGGGGTTTAGGGTGGTTTCTCGAGGCCCAGTAGGTGTTGGACACGATAGCGTTTGAAACCCCGTCCCCTGCCTGCCGTACATCAGCGCAGCTGAGCCCTATACACATCTTTGTGGCAAAAGTCGGAGAAGTTCAGTCCTTGCTTTGTGTTGTCTGAGAGACGGCGTTGTCAGATATTGTTAGCTACACAGGTACGAAGCTGCACACTTCTCACACGAACTGCTACGACTTCCGTAGTCCCCCCCCCCCGCCCGAACCTCTCCGCTCGCTGGCGCCCTCGGATGCAGACGCTATCTTCTGGCATGTCCAAGGAGTTCACGCAAGCCATCATGGAGGCATGTAGGGGGTTCAGAGCCTTCGCAGGACTGTTTGTGGACGGCGTCCACATTCCCGTGTTGTTGAGCGTGCGATTTCCTTGTAGAGAGCCTGTGTACCAAAAGTCCCTAGTTTTGTCGCAAACCAATCCTCACCCCCAGCTGCACCCTAAACCCTAAACCCTAAACCCTAAACCCTAAACCCTAGGCTCTGTGGGATCATTAGCCGTGCGGAAGCAAGCTCTTAGTTCGGCATTTTTACTTGATGGGATAATGTGTCGGGAAAACTCAACTCAGTGAGGGGGCCGGTTCTGCACTGATGTAGGCGTGTTTTGGGGCTTCATAGGCTTTACTGGGGTTTAGGGTTTAGGGTTTAGGGTTTAGGGTTTAGGGTTTAGGGTTCAGGGTTCAGGGTTCAGGGTTTAAGGGCACCTGCGGGCTTGAGCCGAAGCCGCAGATCAGCCGATGCAAGGCTTTGGCTTCGGCCTTAGGGTTTAGGGTTTAGGGTTTAGGGTTTAGGGGTTTAGGGGTTTAGGGTTTAGGGTTCGTGAAGTTCGTGAAGTTCGCGATTTACGATAGCAGCATCACTGAGCACATTGATGCCCGTAAGGGTGCATATTGTTTCGGGGCGTGCACATGTAAACGCACCTTCTAACCCCTTTGAGGGCTGACAGTTTCTTTGATGTTTTGCATGCCGATATGCGGCGACTGCATGTTTAGGTGGGCATGGAGTGCTAACACCACTTGGCGGCCGAAGCCTTGGCGTTTCATCTGCCAGGTGCGAAGTGATCAGGAGATTCCAAAGCATGAGCCACTTGGTGACATCTGTACATCTTCGAGTGCAACGCAAAACCCTTTGCCATAAACTTCCCCAGCCCTAGACGAAGCCTGCAAACCACCAGCCGAAAAGGACGTCAGCTTCAGCATCGAGGATTCACGGCCTACATAGGAAGAGGGTTGCAGTTCCCTAAACCCTAAACCTCAACCCCAAAACCCTAAACCCTAAAGAGCTGCCCTGAAACCCCCTAAGCCCTCCAGTTTGAGGCTCCCCCGGAAAGCAACCTGAACTAGGACCGGGAGTAGGCCCTTATTTCCTTTTTTTGGGGTTGGGGTGCTCTTATAATCCCCTTAAAAGCAAACAGGATGCCCTTTTTATTCCTAGGCCTAAACTCGTAACCCCTAAAGCCCAAAGCCCCACAAGGGTTAAACCCTAAACCCTAAACCCTAAACCCTAAACCCTAAACCCTAAACCCTAACCTCTCTGCATCCCCGAGGACGGCACAGTCGGGGCATGCCTTGGATGTGTCAGCCGGCTCTTCGCGCTGGGACGCCGCTTTTGTTGAGGACGCCGTTTGGGGTTTAGGGTTTAGGGTTTAGGGTTTAGGGTTTAGGGTTTAGGGTTTAGGGTTTAGGGTTTAGGGTTTAGGTCTTTCAGCAACCGTTAGCTTGTCACCTGCGCTGTAGCATTTTTTTTTTTTTTTTCGAAGGGGGGTGGGGGTGGGGGGGGGTAGCGAAATGCCGAGAGCCGAGGGCGATGCCAAGGATTGGCGCCAAATTTTGTAAAGAAGCTGGACCTGTACGTTGGGACGTAGGGTTTATAGTAGGTCGGGGAGTCGGGCATGTGGACTCTATTTGATTTGGCGCGTTTCTTGTTCGTTTGGGCTTACAGCGTTTCGTAGGCTCAGGGTTTTGCGCCACTTTGCGAGATCCACGAAGCCCTTGGATCGACTATGTCTGAGTATACTGCCACCATCTGCCATCCTTCCAGCTCCTGAAGCTTCTGAGACGCGCGAAAAAACGCTTGCCCAAAACCTCCCGCTCTCATTCTTTCAGGAAAAGGACTCTTCGAGGACCTTGGAAACCCTACCACTGGCACCCCAAACCCTACTTAGGGGTTCATGGGTAGCTATAAGTAGGGTTCTCATTACGGCAACTATACATATAGCCTGACTTAGGGTACTTATAACCCTCATGAGAACTGCCTTCCTTAGGGTACTTATAGCCCTAATTGCAACTACCTATGAACCTCCAAGCAACTCTTGAGAACCTGGAGGATGAGGATGACCCCATGGTGGAGTGGTCATGGGCCCCAGCATACCTGAGGGCGCCGTTGATTCGGATTGCGAAAACTTCTGACTTTCGCTACGTACTGCAAAGCGTACCTTCATGACATTGGGGTTGCGTTGGCTTCACTCCTCACTGCAGCTCCATATCTCCCCAAGCCTGAGCGCTGAAACTCGAAAGCCGAGGCTTTGACAAGCCAAGTTCCACACCCCACCTCACCACCCCGTAAGGCATCCGGGGAGGGGGGAGGGGAGGGACAAGATTGCTATCGTTTCGCCGGCTTTGCACACGAATAATTTAGGGACTGAGGGCGAACGACGCAGCATCCCCAAAGCCCCCAAAAAGCCCCCAAAGCCCCTCTAAGCCTATCTAAGCCCCTCTACTACTAGTACTACTACGACTACTACGACTACTACTACTACTACTACTACGACTACTACTACTACTACTACGACGACGACCACGACCACGACCACGACCACGACTACGACTACGACTACGACTACTACTACTACTACTACTACTACTACTACTACTACGACTAGTACTACTAGTACTACTAGTACTACTAGTACTACTAGTACTACTAGTACTACTAGTACTACTAGTACTACTAGTACTACTAGTACTACTAGTACTACTAGTACTACTAGTACTACTAGTACTACTAGTACTACTAGTACTACTAGTACTACTAGTACTAGTACTACTACTACTAGTACTACTAGCTACTACTACTACTACTACTACTACTACTACTACTACTACTACTACTACTGCTACTACTACTACTACTACTACTACTACTACTACTACTGCTACTACTGCTACTACTGCTACTACTGCTACTACTACTACTACTACTACTACTACTACTACTACTACCACTACCACTACTACTACTACGACGACGACGACGACGACTACTACTACTACTACTAGTAGTAGTAGTAGTAGTAGTAGTAGTAGTAGTAGTAGTAGTAGTAGTGAGCCCCCAAAGCCCCCACAGCCCCAAGGAACTTCGACGCAGATCTGAGCTCTGAGCCCAAAGAGGCTCGGATGCTGCGCTTGCGGGATTTGGTTTTAGGGTGTTTAGGGTCTTTAGGGTTTAGGGTTTTTGTGTTTTTAGTGTTTTTAGGGTTTTTAGGGCTTTTAGGGCTTTAGGGTTTTGAGGGTTGAGGGTACAGAGGCTCTGAGTTCAGGATACAGGGCTTGAGCCGAAGTGTCTTCGGGGTGGTCTTGCGACAGAAGGAGGTTTCACGGAGGCGTTGCCTCCTGTTCTAAAGTGGCTGAGCTCACATGAGCCCTAAACCCTTAACCCTTAACCCTTAAAACCCTAAGCCCTAAAACCTGAACCGCTCATCCCTTCCCCCTGACATTAAATCGCGCCATCGCTGTACTTGTATACTATCAGCACGGGCTGTTTTGGGGTTTGGTTAGTGAGGATTTCCCCTTCAAGGGATTTCAAGGGGCAGGGCATCCCTTTCCCCCATTCCCTGCTAAGGGCAACCCTGAACCTTAAACCCTAAGGCCCAAGCGGTTCATTTTCTCCGTCAAGCTCGGAGAGCTGCTTTCCATTTCAAAGTCAGAACCAGTGGCACCCCTGAAGTGTGGTCTACGAGGTCTTTAACTGAAGCCGAAGAGGGTTTGGGGTCTAGGGTTTAGGGTTTAGGGTTTGGGGGTTTAGGGTAAATGGTCGTTTCTTACTTCCCGTATGCTTCATGGTGACTTGGGTGAAAAGGTGTTTGTGTGAGATTGCGTCATGAAGCTTGTTGAAGGGATGTTGGGCAGCCTCAAAGTCCGTTGCTCAAATTAGGGTTTAGGGTTTAGGGTTTAGGGTTAGGGTTTAGGGTCCATGCGCCGAGTGGGGCACTGGTGACTGCGGCGTTTGTCACATCAGCCAAACATGCTGTGCTAAAGCCGTGGTCCCTAAACCCTAAATCCCTAAACCCTGGTCAAAGCATTCAAAGCCGAATGCCGAGGCAAGTTGCCTGGTGTTGAGCCCGGTGGCACTCGAAGGAGGACACGAGGGCCATGGGCTCAGCAGCGGCGCGTATCCAACAGCGTTTGCAATATGACTGGCCGGTTCTTCGCAGGGAATGAGGGAATTGGGGACCCTATATAATCCCTTAAATGGTAGATATAGGGCCCTCATTCCCTACTTAAAGCCAGGGTGATGTTAGCTAGATTCCGTTTTTAGGCTTAGGGGGAGCCTGAACCCTAGACTCCCCAACGGGCTCTCAGTTGGGTTGAACCTTGCCGTAGTTCGTTATGTGGCGGCAAAGCGCCCCAAGTCAAGGGATTAAGACTTGTACCCCTAAGGTTGTACCCTAAGAAGGTTCCCCTTTAAAAACTCCCAATGTGGCCCTTGTGCTACCTTAAGGATCTGTAAACAGGGTCCCCCAAACCCCAGAGTACAACCTTAAGGGTCCGAGGTAGAACCCCTGAATCCTAAACCCTAAACCCTCAAGACAAAATAAACAGAAATCGCATGTGGTACTGTACCATTCTGAATTTTCCCAGGTTATCGTCTAAACAGCTGACAGGCAGAGTTTAAGCACATTCATCCACAGCGCCTCAGACCAAATGCTCAATTTTCTTAAACCTCTGGGGCGTTCCCACTCAAAGAGTCCCAGGAGGCCAGCCAGGGTCGGGAGGCCTCAAAAGAATGTAAATTAGGTTCTAAAGCAGAAGCTTCCGCTCAAAACTTTCGATCAACACGCTATTGGGACCCAAACCCTATCGAATTTCTCCAAACCCTAAACCCTGAACCCTGAACCCTGAACCCTAAACCCTAAACCCTAAACCCTAAACCCTAAACCCTAAACCCTAAACCCTAAACCCTAAACCCTAACCCTAAACCCTAACCCTAAACCCTAACCCTAAACCAACCCCCTAACCCTAACCCTAAACCCTAAACCCTAAACCCTAAACCCTAAACCCTAAACCCTAAACCCTAAACCCTAAACCCTAACCCCTAAACCCTAACCCTAAACCAAACCCCAAACCCCAAACCCTAAACCCTAAACCCTAAACCCTAAACCCTAAACCCTAAACCCTAAACCCTAAACCCTAAACCCTAAACCCTAAACCCTAAACCCTAAACCGCAAGCATGTCTGGGATGTTTCTTTTCAAGGCAGGTTGCAAGGAGGGAGCCTGAGGGACGCAGAGCCTTTCGAGTCCATCATGTGCCCCCGCGTTGAGGGTTTAGGGCTTATAGAAATTGTAAAGGATGTGTGTCCGGAGTTCTAAACCCTAAACCCTAAACCCTAAACCCTAAACCCTAAACCCTAAACCCTAAACCCTAAACCCTAAACCCTAATCTAAGGGCCCATACCTGGAACCCTAGAATGCATGCCCACCAGCCCAAACCTTCCGAGGCTCCCCGGCGTCCCCTTTGTCCATGTCCTACGGCTTTGCGGCGTGGCGCAGAGACGGGTTTAGGGTTTAGGGTTTAGGGTTCAGGGTTCAGGGTTCAGGGTTTAGGGTTCTAAGGCTTCGAGGTTCATCAGAGGTGACCCAGGGTGGAGAGGGTTCTAAAGTAGAGGCTCCCCCCTGGTAGGGGCAGGTAACTACACTCGGATCCCAACTCAAACTCTGCTGAAGAACTCCAAGGGCTCTTTGCTTGGGGGCTGACGTCACAAAAGACCCGCATGAGAGACATCGCATTACTTGAAGTTCATCAGTTCGTAGTTTACTGAGCCAATTCGAACATGGCTACTTCGACAGCCCTCACCCCTCAGAGCTCTTAATACGCGCAGGTCCATCCGATGCAATGTGCTTTTCTGTGTCGCTTAGGCACCTGCATAGAGCCCGCACAGCAAGATTGCGCACAGCAGGCACACTACAGGTGAACAGCCCTGAGTGGCAAGTAGGGTAGCATAGACAGCGTGGACAGCACTTCTTTGCGTTGCTTGCGCTTGGTGAGGAGCAATGGAAGCATTGAACGGGTCACCTCTGCGTTTATGGTTTCAACACTGCACCCTGGCCCTTGGATGCCGCAAAAACGCCCACGCCCTTTATCTTCAAGGCAGCTTCTGTCTGTTCTTCGGTTCCGCGGGTTCCTGGGGCCAAAAACGCTCTCGCCATGCACCCGAATACCTATGCCCTACTGCCATCCTTCAGGTCAGGGACAGCTTCGCATCTGCTACGGATTTGTTCGATCGAGCAGAAGAGGAGCCACCTGAACCCCAAAAGCCCTAAACCCTAAACCCTAAACCCTAAACCCTAAACCCTAAACCCTAAACCCTAAACCCTAAACCCTAAACCCTAAACCCTACACAGGCAGAAGGTTCAGGCACACTGGCCTTGAGCGTTTGAAACTCGGCGTTTCCAAGAGCCGCATTCCCAATCCCATTGGACCTGAAGCTCGCAAACCCAAACCTGAAACCTTACTATTACCATTATTACTATTATTATTAATATTATTATTATTATTACTATTATTGCTGTTGTTACTATTTTTACTATTATTACTATTACGATTATTACTATTATTATTATTTTTTTGTTACCATTATTATGATTACTGTTATGACTATTATTACTATTACTATTGCTACTGTTATGACTATTATTACTATTATTACTATGATTACTATTATTACTATTATTCCTATTATTACTATTGTTACTATTATTAGTGTTATTTCCAGCCCGTGCAGGCGTCGCAAGGAGATGCTGGCTGCCGTGAGATGGCCGTTGCGAGAGAGTCTTCTTATATTACGCATAGCTTCTGATGCTGAAGCAGAAGCCTTCCTGATGCCGTTTAGGGTTTAGGGTTAGGGTTTAGGGTTTTGGGTTTAGGGTTAGGAGCTTGTTCCGAAAATGTTGGGTCCGGTTGCCTCTGCCCGACTTCCCAACATCGAAGATGCCTCCGTTCGCCCCCAACTCAAGTCCCCTAAGGCTCCAAAAAGCCCCAGAGTAGGTATGATTTACAGACTTTAGACCCCTAAACCCTAAACCCTATACCCGAAACTCAATGTAGTATTATTTGTATACTTGCACTGGGGAGACCTAGCGGTCGAGCCCAACTCAACTTGGGCGGGTCCTCAAGAGCCCTTACTCACCAACCCCACAGTCCTTGCGGACACCATCCTCGGCTTATTGTGGCGTGGTCTCGGTTCTGTCTACGAGCGTTGCTTTCCGGATGTGCAAAGTAAAGGCAGGATGGAGTCAGGTTAAACCCTCTCGATGTAACACTATCCAGCTAGTCACGTGACGAAGTGCTTGACTTCAGTCCCTAAACCCTAAACCCTAAACCCCAAACCCTAAATAGAAGGTGCAGATCTTGCAGCTGCATCTGGTCATAGGCTTCAGCTTCAGCATTCTGCCCCCCCACGGGGGGGGCATTTTCCCAAGCCTACTAAGTTATTTCAGTACGACTCTGGTAGAGTGGTGGAGGTCGAGGTGAAGCGATCCTAAGCGCCCCATCAGCCCTAAACTTTAAGGGTTCAGGGTTTAGGGTTTTAGGGTTTAGGGCTAGGGTTTAGGGCTTAGGGTTTAGGGTTTAGTGTTTTGCCAAGCAGAGTTGTGAGTAGGTGAACCCGCCGCTGCCCTCGACCGGCACGACCGTATCCCTAAACCCTAAAACCCTAAACCCTAAACCCTAAATTTTTACAACCTCAGTTAATGTTAGCTTGTGGCGGCTTAGGGTTTGTTGGGTCCAGGAGCCGGTCGTTAGAGGTATAAGCCGTGAAGCCTTGGAGGCCCACGACAACCCTAGCACCGGTCTGTTTAGGGTTTAGGGTTTAGGGCTTAGGGTTTAGGGTTTGCTGGATTATGGGCGAGAAGCTTTAAATGTGACGGTTTTCAGCAGTGCCTTGAAGGCATCGAGCAATGCAAAGGTCGATGGCCCGATCGTGGGGGGCCACTCAAACACTTTTCTCCCACCCCACGCCGTTTAAGGCGGCAAAGCCCTGATCTTGCGGAAGGGGAAATTTATAGAGTCAAGCTTCGCCTGGGGGCGTGGTCGGGAAGGGGCCCGACAAGTTCAGGGGTCTTAGGGGGCGGTCCCAGGCAGGGTCCCAAGAAGGGGGGTCCCAGGCAAGTCCCAAAAAGTTCGGGACCAGAACTGGTTCCAGGGAAAAAGGCTCTGGTACCGGGCCCATCGGAGGCACGACTTGCGCCATGGAGGTTGAGGGGCTTAAGCGCCCCCCCCCCCCCCACTGTAGGGCCTTGAGTGCAGGGTTTAATTAGGGTTCAGGGTTTAGGGTGGAGATGTAGGAAGTCTTCATACCGAGTTCAAGGTTTACGCTTGGGTTCCTGTGCGGATACAAGCTGAGTTTAACGATCTTTTTGAGAACCACTTTGACTAGGACGAGTTGCTCTGCCTGGCGGCACCTCCACCCGTCACTCATCATTCCTTCTGTTCTCTGCATCGACAGACTGCCCGATAAGGAGTCGGCTTAATGCTGACGGGTGATGAGAATCTACATCTGAAGGCTGTGCTGACAGCTAGGTGGTTAAGGCCTGCATGCCGCTCCGGCATACTTCCACAGCACTTCTCGAGGACGAGTACACCTTCTGAAAGTTTGCGTTTACTCAGGGCATCAATGGTTGGCATCGAGAGAAGTTTAAGAAGCCAAAGGGTCCTCGGTAGATTGCCGGCAAGACTTTCGAAATTTTAAGCACGCGCGGGGTCATAAATCATCCGACGATGCGCAAGTCGAAGGGGTGCTGCTGTTTTTTTTGTGCCCCCGAAGCTCCTAAACCCTGAACCCCCGAGCCCCCCATTCCCTAGACCATGCTTTTGACCTCCAAGCAGCTGGGTTTAGAGTTTAGGGTTTAGGGTTTAGGGTTTAGGGTTTAGGGTTTAGCTTTTGTTCAGGTGAGGTTTCGGGCTTAGCCTTCAAAGGTTCTTTTGCCAAAATAGGGACTGAAGGAGAGACCCTTATCAGGGACCGTAGGAGTTATCTAGGGGTTTTTTAGGGGCTACTTAGGTATATAGGGACTATATTATATATATATATAGATATAGATATATATATATATAGATATATATATATATAATTATAATTATAGGGCTTATATAGGGGAAAAGATTCGGGGTCCCTTCTAGGGGCTCCTCCTTATACCCCGCAATTACCCAAATAGAGAGTGTTTTGGCTCGTCAAGGCCCTCGTCTTCCAGCCTGGAGGAGACCTCTTGCGAATATGACACTCATGTGCTGCGACTTGCGCGGGTCGGGTTCTGTACCTTCGAAGACCCCGACACAGAAGGTAATGCCTTGAACTTGAGCAGTGTTGAGCTGTAAAGGGCTTTTCTCTTCATGCCTCCTGACATGCAGCCTCATGCTTTTGTAGCGATGTGTTCCTGCGTGAATGGTAAGTCTTCAGCGTGTTGAATGTTTCGAAGGTCTCGGACGATGAGCTGAGACTTAAACTTCATGTTAGTAGACTTCTGTCGAATCTGGCGGCAAGCAAGCAGTTCAGGGCCCCGGGTGAAGACTTTAATCAGTGAGGCTGCACGCTGAAAGTGTGCGTGGCGAAGCAAAAACGGGAACAAGCAAGAGCTGGATTTCGCGATAAGGCCTCACCTTCTGTAGAGTGGCATGCATGCATTGAGACTCTAGATGTCACTGGAGGTCATAGGCGTCCTCATGAGCCGGGGGAGGGTGCCCCCGAGATGTACGAGCAACGGCTGAGGCCACAGAACAATGCTTAGTTAAGGAACAGCATGCGCAATGACATGGACATCGCATCATGCTAGGCGACGGAGGCACGCAACTGATTGCCATGAGTCCCTCGAGAGCGTCGAACGTTTGGACCATCATCTTTAAGCACTTTGTTGAAGTCATGCGCGCAATTTGATGGGGCTCGATTGAACAAGTGTCTTAAGACGACAGATAACTTGGCCGCAACAGGAGTCCGCACAGGAATCAGTTGCTCGTGCGGATCCCGCTTTTTCAGTGAGTCATTGCTGACGATTTGCCGGGTGTTCCAGTCTTGCTCTCAGTCCAGCCTGGAGAAGATTCGCAAGCTCTGGAAACTCTAGCACTGCCCCGGGCTGTAATTATTTCGGCATCGGGAAGCAGAAGCCACTGTGGAAGCGATCCTTGATTCTGAGTGTCATAAGGACCCTAGACCCTCAGACCCTAAGCCCTAAGCTGTAAGCCGCGGCATGACAAGATTCTTGGATGCATCAGGGCAGATCATGAGAGCGCTCTGGCACACCCAGCCGCATGGACACATGTCTCATGCTCAGTCCGGCAAAGGTGTCCTCTTGACAATGAAGGTGTGACTACAAAGAAGTTCGTAAGCCCTAAAACCTAAACACGAGAAACCCCAAACAGCATTTTTGTCAGCGCATGGTTCGGGGGCACGTTTGGTGGCTCGGAGTTGATTGGCTCGGAGCTGATGCTTCTGATTGGAATGTGAAGCTTGAGACAGATTGCTTCTCCACTTGGAGGTTCATGGGTAGTTCTAAGTGGAGATATAAGTAGGGTATATATATATATTTATTTATTTATGACTTGTTATAACCTTATGTTGGGTACTTATAACCTTCCTTATTTAGGGTACTTATAACCGCACTGATGAGTACCCATGAACCGTCAAGCATGCTTTGGAAAAGAGAGAGAGAGAGAGAGAGACTCTTCTCATGTCTGAGCACCCATGTGGGGTTGCATAAAAACCCCGCGCATCTTGGTTTAGTAGCACGTCTCTTTGTCACGGACAATGCTAAACCCTAAACCCTCAACCCTAAACCCTAAATCCTTGTATTGTGGCACGGTTGGGAACGAGAAAAGAACGTCAAGACAGCAACATCCATGAAGCTACATGATCAAAACCACAAGTGTATTAGGGTTTAAGGCTTTCGGCCCCCGTAAGTATTAACAGAACCCATGCCCCATCTTGCGTAAGCAACCACCACTCTCATTGCATGATAGCCGAAGTATTGACTAGGAGCCGGGTTTTCATACAACCCACATTTACAAGATTCCTGTGCTGGGCTTTGCAGCCGCAACCGCTCATACTAGAGTATCGACGGGTGCGAAGCTGACATGCTTCAGGCCTCGACAGGACATATAACCAGCAACCCAATGGACGATAAGTAAAATGAGAGGAACCCCAAACTTACCTCAAAAAACGGCGCGGCTCGTTCTGTGATCGTTGTAGCCCTAAGCTCTATAAAGCCCTAAGGATGTCAGAGCGCAAAGGGAGTCGAGCGAGCTGAGTTTGCATGCAGCGCATGCCGGCACATCGATTGCTTTCCAGTTTAGGCTAAGCCTGCAT